AATATAATCTGCATTTGGGATTCGAAGGCTACCGGATCAGGAATTTCATTCTAAATCCCTATCACCACAGTCCCAGTACGCATTTAAACGGTTATTGACATAGCAGTGTGTGATAGTTTAATGTTTTTCCAATGTTCTATCAATGAATGACAAACTCGAGCTTAATAGATATAATCTGTTCTTATATTTTTTAAGCCAGAGGTTTAGTTAAGGTGTATCAAGCGAATGCATGACCGGTACTTGGTGCTAGCGTAGCTGTAGAAGGTTTTAAAACTAAAATTCTGCATCTAAACTAACCTAGTGGTCTGCTTCCTTTAATGAATGCTTTTAATTACTCCTCGTCTTATTATAACCTTTTGCAAGTGAATTGTAACAAAGTAGACGAATTCACTGCCACTATTTAGTGTAGTTCAAAAAACATATCAGTGTTTGTCGAGTATTTTCATTCGTATTACTTTAAGCGGAAGAAAGCGACAGGCGTAAGCAACATGAAAGTTCAAACGGAATAGATTTCAAGTCATTTAAGTAAAGTTAATCCAAATACCCACCAGGACATTCACCATAGTCTGCAGATAGGTAATTTTGTCGGGCAGTCTACGAAAGCCGCACACTCACGTGTCGTACAGGCGAAAAATTTTTGAAATTTCCATCAGCCTTTTGCTGAGAAAATAACAGTAGGCAATCCATTGTAATGCCGCTATTTCTCTAGATTGCAATCTGTTTTGGGCTATAGAGCAGCAAAGATCTAATCAAGCAACCGATACTAAACGGTCCAACAATCACAAAGTTTTACAGGTAGCTCACGGTGCTACGGAGAAATCACTTCTGACAACCAAAGTAAAGCCTGCTATCTCAGTCCTCGATATAACACACATTTAGTGATTTGTTTCACGTCCCGAGGCAAAAGAAAAATTTTAGCCAAATTCATCCTATTCTGTTGCGCTGAACACTCTTAGATACTTCTGATTGTTTGGAATTGAACCACATTTGATCTTAACCCCGTTATCTTTTGCATTTCGCAAAGACTTGTCAAAATTTCAGCGAAACTTAAAGTATGCACTACAACCGTTCCCGTTGCGTTGTACATGGTTTTATAATCCAAGCGCTGTTTTGTTCATAAAACTTATCGTAGTGCATAGTTATTGGGCATTTACCCATGAATTTCTAACATGAGATTTCAGAAAACAGTGTATTTTTCTGTACATCAAATGCAACTGGCTGCCTACAATGGTTCCTTTAACCCACATATGACTACACACATAAGCACGCACTAAATTTCCTCGTGTGTTTCAAAAGAATTTTTGCAAAGACAACCCTATCTTTATTTATTCTGACCTGCATTTTGATGTACCTTCATATGCAGTGTGAAGAATACATTAATCAAAAAATAGCATGTTGTGATATCTACCAAATACAAAAGACAGATTGAGTACACAAAGGCAATCTTGTAGTTAATTCGAAATGACGGTCTACACATATATTTAATTCGCTGTGAACATACGCTTTGCTTTCACTGACAGTGTTAGGATTGAAAGATGTGAACCAGCTTTCAACGAAGAGTGGCCGTGTATTGAACTGTTGCAATACTGCCCTCCACCAGGTCCAGATTGAACTGTTTAAATAGGAGTAACTTGTTATCCATCTACTTGAGAAGTGTTCTACGTGAACAAACGGAATAAGCTTTACCTTGTAATAAATCAAGGTGTAAACGAATATCGCATATCGAAATCCATTGCTCCAGGAAATACTTTATTCAAACCAAACTTAACATCTCAGTGGTCCCGTGTTTGACGCATTCCATCTATAGTTGATGAGATCAACTAGTATGTTGGCATCTCATCATGTTAATGGAGACATGTCTGTACAAGGTGATTAACGACGCCGAGATTGCACTATCTGGTATGACTCTTGTACAACGACCGACCGACTAAGAAAGAGGTATAATTCCTTACTACCATTCTGGCCTACTCTCATCGACCGCGTAAACGACCGGAGATTCAAACTGTGGACGCCTTTTAGTACCGTCTATAACTAAGGCTGGGCTATGTGTGCCTAGTGTTCATGGTATACCGCCATCCATTGTCAACTTTAGGAATGAACCAAGCCCTAGCCTTCGCTATGAATAACCTACTGGCATGATCTTACAACCATGAACTGTTCGCAGGGGATTTCAACCTTCATGGCGTAGAATCCCCGGCCACGCTCGTTGGGCGATTCAAGGCGGAACTGCGAGACCTAGTAGTTGGTTCACTGCTGCACAAGCATGTCACTTCTCTAACGAGTTTTAGGACAGGAAACATACCGGTCTACTAGGACCTTGTTTGAACCAAAGAAGAGCTCATCATTAGCGTAGTAAGAAAGTGTACTCCTTTGAGCGGTGGCGACCAGCTACCTGTGCTACGCAGGGCATTTTACAGAAATTACCGAGGGGTTTCACATCAAAAGCAACTAGGATAACCTGCTTGACCACATTGGTGCAACAAGCTAGCCTTTAATAGTAGAATGGTCGCCGGAATTGGCCTGCATGGAATTTGTCAACAGGCACTTGGCAAGCATATTAGAAACCAAAATCCATCGTTAGATAAAAATAGTCGTTCCTAAGGAGAAGGATTCGGAAATGTGTTGTATGGAGGGACTCAGGAAGGCTCGCCCACATAGCTTCTCCGAGAGAGCACACATGGGATGTCTATACAACACAAGGTAACCAGTGCGACAAAATTGCCTGAAAGGATAAAGTAAAGGACCAATAAGATCTGGTGATAAAACTTTGCTCTAACCCAAAGCTGTGATGCAAATAAATAAACTACGCCGGGTTAAGCGCGAAATTTCTGCTCTGAACACAAAACGTGTGGGCAAACACAAACGGCACAAGAGGCAGCCAACCTTCTTGGACATTTATTTAGCCGTACCTACCAAGTTTACAATTGTCTTCCATCTTGCTTATGCAGATCCTGCCACCATCAGGTCTTAACCAGTTATCCGTTATAATCACACTGTTACTGAAGCGGTCGATGTCACTGTGCCAGCACAGCTCCCGTAGTGCAGCCAGTGTGCGCTTTAAGGCGTTGAAAGTTGCGGCCATGAGTTTAGCCGAACCATTAGCAGTACTGTGGTAGAGATGTCTTAACAAGATGCACGTCCGCACGATGTGGAAGCAGCAGTACGCCGGTACACAGTACCGACCCTTCGCCGCCGCGCAACCACTACCAGTCGTACGCGAGCAAAGGATACTGCCGGGTTGCCCGGTCCCTAGCATGCTAAAACGAGCGCCCTCGTATCACAAGGTGGGCTTGTAATCCTTAAGACTACGAGACGGATATGGAAGCGCGGGATCCCCACACCAACCTAAAAAGTGGGAGCCGTGCAGAACCAGAAAATGTTTGCTCGTTAACAACATTTCCAATTATATCCAAGACCATGGAGCCTATTATCTTCAAGCCAATCATGGGTACCTGAAGAGCAACGAAGTGCTCACTCAGTAACAGCAAGGATTTCGTCAACTTCAGTCCTGTGCTATTAACCGCTTGATTACTCATTTGTGCTGGACGGAATCTGTGGATGCTGGGGTAGGAGTAAATGTCGCCTACATGGGTTTCTCAAAGGCGTTCCACCGTTTGGACCTTCGCATTCTACTGTACAAGCTTCGGAATTATCGAATCGGCTAATTCGTTATAGCAGGATAGGCGACTTTTCCGTTCAGCACACTTAGATTTAAAGGTTTGCAGCAGCCTTTCCCTACCATCGACGTCTTGTACGTCATAATGCAGAGCTCGGCTCTTTGACTTTGCCAGTTCTGGTCTTCATAAAGGAGCTCTCGAGCGTGAAATCAGCATACTTCCTAATATTTCTGATAATCTAAAGAAATGGCACGCCAGCACTACAGGAGAGGCTCATATAGCCCTACAAGATGATCTAACCAAAGCATACACATGGTCCAACGATAAAACGATGCAGTTCAACGCGAGCAAAAACAAAATTCTGAGCATACACCATCAAACAGCTCACAACTACCGACTAGGGCCCCAAATTATACAGCGGGCTTCTCATGAGTGCCATCTCGGCGTACGCATACAAGATCATCTTGGCTATTTGCACTTAGACTGAAAAGGCTTCAATGAAAGCAAGTCAGTACTTCGGCCTACAGAGCAGAACGTTTGGGAAGTTCGACGCCTCAATCTTCCAGAAAATCCTTGGCGCGTACGTGTGGGGGCACACAGAATACGGCATCCAAGTTTGACCACCATGGAAAATGCACCACCTTACCGCGCTGGATACAGCAGAAGGCAGGACGACGAAGCGAAGGTTTGTTCCACCTCACCAATCCACTGGGGCTGAAAGCTCTAAAAGTTTGCAGCGGTGTTATCGGTGTCTACGAAATGATCAACTAATGAGGTAGCAGACATCATTCCAACATTTTTGGAAACAGCCAGTATACCTCTGATGGATAATCATTTTGATTTGGCCACACAGTACAGCTAACTTAACTGATGACGAAACTTTTTCTCCCTCCCAGTATCATAGCATTTAATTAGCGCCCTCACCTCATCATCCCTAATCAAAAATCGCCTTGATGCAACTCTGACACATTTACACTAAGCGATACAACCTATGGCCATCAGATGATTGCATTAGAGAAGAGGAAACAGTGGACGGTGTCATAATACTTTCAAACTCAAGGCAGGCATACTCGCACCTATGTTAATCTGAATCTCTTGGTGAGTCATCTAACTCAAACGATTATTTGTACCTACATGGGTTTTATCTTATGATTTTCATGCTAACCATCCTAAGGAACTTATCAAGCAGTTGCGTTTAAACCTGTCATTGAGCATTACACTATTACTTCATTAAAAATAATTGCAATTTTGACCAACTGCCTGACCAACTCCCGTCTTTTACCAGGACGCAGAAATTCAGACAACGATTTGATACAACCTAACGAAACGCACTTAGAGGGAGTCCCAATTTTCATTCAACATCCCAAACCCATATATTACACAATGAAAGATCATCCGGCCGTTATCGAGTGTACCGTCGAACCCGTGTCTCATGCTGCAATTGAGTGTGCAGCAAAAATCATTCCTTACAAAGGACCGGAGGACTCTGGCCGCCTCAAAGTGACGCGCTTGGACGCAAAGAATCGGCCGAATCCGATTGGTGACCGATGGCATTTGGCATTGCAAGTGAGACCGAAGGAGGTGGAAGAGTGGTTCGATTCGTACGTTTGCCGTTGTGAGGCCTGGAACAAGGTGTTTGCACTTCAGCGGCCCAAGAAGGTTGTCAGCCGGGCTGCAATCGTGGTGGAAGCATGTGCGTTCTTTAAAATTTTGCACGCCGACTTAGACCGGATACATTACGGTTTTACTATTACCATCTTGTGTTAACGCTCTGCTTTGGGCTGATAATGCGCATGTCGATGGAAAACTTTCAACAGCAGAATGTAATAGGAAGGTTTTAGTTAACTTGTGTTGATTTGCTTCGGCCGGAGCTGTCACTTGTAGGGTGCAAAAAATACTTTTAAAAGTAAGACCAATAATGTTCTCAGTTTGTAGAGCTTTCAGTATCATTGTTCCGAGCTAAGAGGTCTAATCCCAGACGGCTGCAGTTGATGGAGTCTATGGTTAGGAGTTTAATTGCTCCTTCTAAATTCACCAACCTGGACAACTCACTCACTGCTGTACAGCACTATAAGGTAATAGAGTCAAGTACATTGTACACTATCCACATGCATAAATCCAATCATCTACAGACATGCAAAGTGAATAAAAATAAAGCTCTTTCGTTTCGTCGCATCAGATATGGAAGAGCAATTCCAAGTGGAACCAGTATCCACCGACCTTGCTGTTGGATCGCGTTTAACCTTAACATGTGTTCCACCAAGAGGAAGACCTGAACCTGAGGTGAGTGATGATAAAGGTTGACATTGTCAACCATCTTCTTTTTTTTCTCACCCAATACCACAGTTTGGAGCCAAATATTTAATCGTCGATAAAACGCTGGCGATGAAGAAATTGGCTGCGAAGTACATAAAATGAAATATGTATATTTCTGTTCCTATTTGCATATAAAATGAAAAGTTCATGGTTTTTCAATGAGGTTTTTAACCAAACAAATTGATTGTTTGACGTAGAAGTTTAATAAGGAGGGACAATTAGTATACTGATATTGAAAACACGTTTGCAAGCAAAGAACACGTCACATATCTTGCAGATTGCCGCTTGGGTGTTTAAATATGTTACAAACGTTGGAGCCGGATTCTCCATTTTGGATTACTGTAACAAGGAGGCGTGCTTTCAAGTACACAATGAACCTTGAAAAATGATTTATCACGGGTAAGAAAGCATGTGCTTGACAAGTCCCGTAGGATGGTTGTAGTAAAAATTAAATTTTAAGGATCATCGAATAAGGAAACCGTCATTTTAATCGTATACTGATTTAAATGCACTACTGCATAACAACAGTTTGAAATGGGAATGAGATGTGCACATAAAAAATATTATGGAGAGCTCTTACTATTCAGTAAGTTCGTAAGGAATAAAAAAAGAACAGACAACGATCATGCGTTTATTGTTGCCGTTGACAGATGCGTTATATTAATGCGGTTTAGTTACTTCCATGCTATTCACAAGGACCTTCTGCATGTATCCTCATCGCCAAGTTGCGGAGAGGGCCGTTAGGCACATGGTTTTAGCTGTGTTATTTCCATCGCCGAATAAAGCAAACTATATCAAATAGTGCTAGTTGGATAGCCTGTCATCAAAACGTTTTACGAATAGCATTAATTTAGAGGTAAGGACTTGGAGTATGCAGACCATATTGCACTAATCTGTGACAGATCACAAACGTGCCAAACGGCGCTGGACAGATAAACACCGTCTGTCTGTCACTTCGGGCTTTGCTTCGCACCCCGAAGTGCAAAGCCTTCCTCCAAATTGGTCTGGACCACGTCCTACACTGACCCTTGGTGGTGATCAGCTCGAGGTCGTTCGAAAATTCAACTGCCTGGGAAATTATATTAGTGCCCTTGGCATCGAAGAGGAGATCACAAACAGTATAGCGAAAGTTCGAAAAGCTTTTGCTAGTCTTCGCCTCCTGTGGCGTCGGCGCGACACCACTCTCGCCCTGAATGGCAGTGTGTACAATGCAGCGGTACGTACGACCATACTGTACGGTTACGAAACCTGGCCCCTTAGGTCAGCGGACATAAAGAAGCTAGTTACGTTCGACCACCGGTGCCTTCGCAGGTTGGCTCACATCTGGTGGGAACACCGAGTAAGCAACGAGCGTATTCGACGCTTTCTTTACAGCACAGAAAAAGTAAATGAACCGCTCAGAACCGTTATTGCATGCAACAGGCTCCGATGGCTAGGCCTCTTGTTACGCATGCCAGCCCACCGACTCCAGCGACCTGCGTAGTTTGCGCACCAGGAGGTGGGGATGGAAGAAGAGGAGAGGTGGCCAAGCGATGACTTGGTCGAGAAGAATGAAGGCCCTCACTTCTGAGCTGGCCTCGGTTGGGGCGTCCCGGCTCCCTGATTGGGGTCTGAAAGACGATGAACATGTTTGGCTGAATACATTTGCTTATATGACTAGTAGCCGACCTCATTGGCGTTCGTACTGTGAGTTGCTTTGTCCCATCCCATCCCTCTTGGACTCTCCCTTCAACCAAGATCTCACTGCGTAGCCTTATATACTTTTGCATAGTAATCTTTTTTGCTACATAGTAGCCGGCTGGTGACTTACCGGAACGACGCCCGTCCGTTATCAGTCTCTCAGCTGGCTTGCACCCGTTGAATTTTACCTTTTTTTCTTTTATATATTGCGGCACAGTAGCTGATGTGTTTCGCACCTCTAACTAACGTGTATAATGCCGATGATGAGAAAAAATGAATGACGTGATTCGGGAGGGTGTTCCAGTCACGGTGGGAGAAAACGTTTCGTCGAAAGTCAAGTTGACTGTAATATGTAGCCAGTTTGAACCGATGGCCTCTCAGGTTGGTATTTTGTCTCAGCTGCAACAGAGTGCAGCATGGGTGAACTGGGTTGGTCAGTATTAAGCAAACCAGTTAGACCTAAAAATAAATGAAAAAAGCAGTGCGTACAACGGCAAATACTAGTCATGATATGATTATCATGGTTGATAATTTGCGGAATCAAAAAACTACTGATATTGTATGCATCCAAAATTTAGATTATTGGTGGTCTTTTGTGAGCAATTTAATTTTCCTGGAAAGTAGAATCCATGGTTAAACTTCGCATAATAATTTGCCTCGACGGGAAGCGAACCCCGTATATCGGGTTTTGGTGGCTTAAATTTAGTGAACATTTTAATTTCCGTAGATCAATAGAATTGTGGATTACCAGTGGAGCATATTTTTACCATATAATCCTCCTCCCAATTCTGAGATTCTGTCTGAATTTACTGCTTTTAGTATCTTTTTGTAAGACTTCGTTACATGTTTGCCACTTCAGATGCTAAAGGAATAATCACACATCAATCCCATGGAATTTTTTTGTTACTGTTTGCGACGGAATCTTGACTTTTAGGTTTAAATCTAGTGTCGCTCTTTTTCAACTGCATTATCATGACAATACAATTTTTCTTTCTTCCAGACATACTGGTTGTTTAATGGCGCAAAAGTTCCTTCGGAAGCTCATGCGAGAATTCTAGTTGATGACTACAATCAGCTAATTATTGAAAATGTGTCATTAGAATCCAGTGGAAATTACAGTTGTGTGGCTGACCTTCTGAGTAAAGAGTTTCGCTACGCAACAGCCACTGTAAATATAGTTCGTGAGTTTATTTGAACTGAACTTATCGCATATAATCCATTCTTTGAAAATACTCATTCCGGAATTTTAGCTTGAACATCCGCAAGTTTGCCTATGAATACTTCAGTAAAGGTGGACTCAGTCCGACAACGCTTTGTGTACAAGGAAGCTGTATGTTACCATTATTATCGTGAATTATGCATTACAGGTACTAGTCAAATATCTGGGTAGATATATAGACGACGCTAAATTAAAAATATTTAGAATAAAGGAAGTTGTAACACGCGAGATGTTATTAATCACAAGAAAATTATAGTCCGGATATTCAAAGTGTAAACCCTTTTGCACTGAAGCGGTTTGCTTTCTACATCAAAATCCAATAATACGGAATTAGACCGTCTGCTGTTGGGGACTTAATTTAATAAGCCCCGTATTCAGATTGTTTCCGAACAAATTTACCTAACGATAAAAATATTATTAGGTCATTTTTGGCCTCATCCGATCGTCAAGTTTTGGTGGATGACGTAAGTGCATTGCAAGCAAGAACAACGAAAGGCAAGCACCACTATGTAGCTGTGTTATTAATCCAATCCATTTTGGCCACAAACATTGGCAGAGCGTAAGCAGTCTCCGCCCTAGAGCAATCGTTTCGATTCCTGGTTATGTATCAAGTCACGACAAATGCCTTGTGTGCAGACAGCCATCCCATGAAGAACTATAACGAACCACGGTTTCATCACAATGAAACTTATCGGTAGTTCACAACTTCGCTCAACAAGTTTTCTCTTGGCCTAAACATAAATCGCAAGACCAAGCTTTTATAGTAACGATGTGATAAAAACTACACCCTTGTTACACCTATTACGTTGTGGTGGAGGATAAAACGTGCCGCTTTTCCAGCTCTTCAGGCAGTATCAAACTATATCAGGAGGGGTGACCACAGAAGTGAAACCCTCGGGATTTTACAGGCGTTTCTATAGTCCAGTTGCTCAGAGAGCAAGTAGATCTATCTTACTATTCTGTTTTGCGGTTTATCTTTGCTGGGGAATCTTACTGCAATTCCTCTAAAAATCATCACTTATCTCCGGTTTTATCATACAGGCAAACATTTGCCGATTAGCCGTCTAATGGACCTACTGTACACCATTTGTGAAGAGCTGCTAAAGTTCAGCAACTCTGTTCACCGAAATCGCTGTTTCATCCAAACCGACTTTCTGATCTGGCACTGATACGCATTGCATTGAATACCGTTTTATCACACACAACTAGGCTATTGATGGATTATTTGTAAAGTAACAAGCATATTATCAATAACAACTCCGGCCAAATTTCAATCCCGACAATAAGATTATACGCAATGTAGATTAGAATACCTAAGTGGATATTTAGTTGGATGTAAGGTAACTAGGTGCATTAGCATTTGACAAGTTGCTCGTAGGAAGGGCGTATTTTAGAAAAGAGCAGCAATATTGTACCGTTCAACAAAAATATGTATTTTCTACAACGTGAAGGCCAATGTCTCTGCCTTACATAATATCCTCCACTGATCGTAGAAATGTATTCTGATGTTACCTAGCAAGTCATATTAGTTTGTTATAATCTAATGATTATTACTAATGAGTACCGGAAATGTTGAAATATTACGGAGATAATTGCTCACGGTCAACTCAGTCAGCAGGCGTTGGCAAGTCTGGAAAAGCACCGGACAAAACTGATTAAACATTCTGGGTCTCATCAGTGGTGCGCTTTCCATCGGATTCCTACAGTGTTCCGACCCCAGGAATTCCGAATGCCCGCAGATAGTACCACTTCGCCATGGGTGACAGCCACGGAACTGCATGGTTGATGGTTGACTATGATATAGCCCGGCTCATCTTCCACTGCCATGCCAGTTAGGAACTGCATAGAGGACAGCAGTTAGCCCCACTATCTAGGACTTTCCGCATAGCGTCTTTGTACGATACAGAACTTGAGGATTATTTGCAGTAATGTCCAGCCTAGATCGTAGGGAGTATTTTAAATGTACTGAATCGCAATATCTACAGTATGCATGCGTCTGTCATGTACCTTTAAACCAACACTGTAACACTGGCACCTAACTAATGACTGTCGTTTGACACTAGGAAATAATGACTATGCCTAGATCGTAGCTTGTACTATCTAGTACCTACCAGCTGCAAACAAGAAGAAGTCATCCAATATGGAGTGTCTACCTCCATTGCAGCGTTGCTCCATGGCTAAAGTGTCTTTATAAAGGCGCTCACCATATTCATCGCCAACAGATTCCAATTTCACAAGGAAAATGTAAAAGTATTATTTAGAAAGATAATCTTGTGTGACGTTCGAGCACCAACAGCCTGATTGTTCGCAATGCGTTTTTCGTAACGTCTTTTTAGTTTTCTGCCCGTGTTCAACCCATAAGTACTGTACACATTACTTCGAATATCCTCCAGGCAGCTAAGGCGAAGAAAGTCTACTGACATTCAAAAGCGCCTTTTGCCATTATCCGGCGAATATCAGGCCCAATAAGGATTCCTTCTTTAAGCACATCACTGGGCTTCGGAAACATTTGTTTCGTGTAATGAAACGAAAAACCTCACCCGAACGCTTTGGCGTAGTTGTTAATCAAACCAACCTGGATGTGCAGGGGTGGTAGGTAAATTTGATCAGATTGCACAAGATGTGAATGCTTTACCCTCCTTTTCGCTGCGGCGTACTTCATCTTCTCCGACCACTTTTCTGTTGCGCAGTGCTGTTGTATTGCACTACTGCTTCATAAGCACAAGCAAAACAACACTATTTTGTGAAGCCACTTTTTCTACCCATTATAAGTCTAATGAATTTGTAGTCAGCACGGATGTTCCAACAGTACTTATCGTAGTTCATTGTAGCGGGTAGCTGTTGCATACATTCGTAAATCTCTTTCATATTGGTGGCATGCAACAGAGACGCAGCTGGGTAGACATTTCCATTTTTGAGCAGCATGACTTGAAGACTACAGTTGGGCGATTTAATGAACAAACGTCATTCATCACTAGTATGCCTCACGCAAAACTACTTCATCAGGCCTTTCACGTTGGAACTATACCAAAAGTTTATCTTGTGACAGAGAAACCGGATAATTTAATACTTTGCTTTCCATATACAATAAACAGTGTTTGTGACAAATAAGTGCCACTGAGGCCAACAACTCGGCCTTGTCTTTAGGCAAGAGCAGGTCAGGTACTAAGTCATTCAGCTCTGCTTGTTCAATAAGATGTGGGTTGACAACATCAACTTCAAAGTTTTCACAAATGTCAGAATCAGGGAACGTCGACGATGCGGAATAACTAAACGTCATTGACATGTACACTGGAGGCATTGGAATGGGTTAGATGCGATCATGTGGAACAGGTCGAATAGCGGATGGAAGATCGCGATAATGAATTTTGTTTCAATTGTCGAAGCCAATGACACTAGTTGGGCAGAAGTAGCAGTCCGTCGTGGGGTCTTCTGGCTCCTTCCTCACCACGGGGATTGCAAAGGAGGCCCTGCCTTTGCCCTTGAGCCACTAAATCAGATGAAGATTGCACGACACAAACTATATATAGAAATCAGTTCTTATCCTTATTCAGTTTCATCCCGAAATATGCTAGGTAGGCATTTAGCAGTGAAAAAGTTGGTCTGTGCTGCGAATTTGTAGTAAGCTGTCCACGGACGTAACAATAACGATTTCGGCCCTTGACATAGCAGCGTCTTTGAGCCAGGATCAAGATATCAATCAAAGAAACAGCTCTCAGTTGCCTTTCAGTATTATGTGGATACCATGTCCAAGATTAGTTCTTTTATGCGGTTCTAGGGAGCCAATGGGCCACTCACTGGTGAGCATTCTATGTGTGGAATGCACTGCTTAGTTGAAATGAAAAACTGCAATTAAACAAAAACCTTTGTCATAGAAAGATTTAGTTTGCATAGTTATAAGCAGCTCACTTGATGCTACTAGAAAAACCTATCTCTTTTCTGTTAAAAAATGATGTCGAACAGCGTTATTAGCCTGATTCTACGGCCAAAACATCACAAATTTTGCCAGATTTACTAAATAGCTTGATTCTCCTTCCCCTCAGTGCACAGTACTGCTCACTGCTGACGAATTTATGTCTTCCATTTGACCCATATATTTCAGCCATTTGGAAAACAAAACCACCAAAAACAGATAGTTGGATGAAGTGGACACCCTGTGCTTGGCACACAGAGGTTGCTCCGGAACCGTTTGGGGTATTACGAAGATTTTGTCAAAGTAGAAGGGTTCGAACTTGCGCATACGGTCTCAGCCTAGATGTTGATCAGCTTCAAAGGGATACTTCAAGTCGATCGTTGGATGAAAGATTAAAGAAATGCCCACTTCCATGGCTGCAGAAGAAAAATTGTTCTTCGAAAGATTGCAAGGGTTAGTTGTTTAGTGGTATTTACAGAGTGATCCAAAATTGTTCTGGGGTCCGCGTTGTCACACCATTTACCGCCACAAACTGCGGTGAAGGAAAGATTTCATTAATGAAAGTATCCATAAGGCTGATATACCTTCAAAATTGCATAATTTGGTCACAAAACTGCGTTTTTTTCACTTTTCAGGTAAAAATATCTCACTAACACAGACAACTGAGACACATGAGGATGAGAATAGTGTCCTAAGAACAGACTCTCAGGCTCGATTGATTGCAACAATCTGCGGGCTATTTTTGTGTTTGGCCCTCTTTATTGGCATAATCGGTGTTACAGCAAGCAAGCGAACACGACTGGTATTGAAGTCCTACCAATGCGTGTGGGGCTGCTGCTGTTCTCAAGGTAAGTGAACAGTATGCAGATTGATCTAAGATATGTGTATTTATATATCCCGTCTACCTGGTTTGTGGTTCAGCCAGGTTCTGACTCTAATTCTACATTGCGCATTGTATCATACTGCTATAGAGTAGAAAAGATGGTAGAAACATTGTTTTCATGTTTACTTTTTGTCATCACAATTTCTGAAGTTTCTGGTGATTTCAGATACATCACGACGGAGCAAACCTACCTGTCCTGGTGGAACCTTGATTAAAGGTAATTAAACCAAATGTTTTGTGAGCTTTTTCTAGCTGTGATCTCTCATCGCTGGAAGTATTTTACTCATGTTTTCATAAAGCGAAATGTCATGTCGGTGAATCTACTCTCATGCGTATTCATGCATTGCTTCCACTAGATTCCTTGCTATGTACTGCCGATGCAATCAGTGGTACATCGGTAGTGAACTCCCGTACCTTACAGGAACGAATCAGGAATCAGTATAGATCATCACTGCCTAGGCCTACTGGACAGACCAACGGACATTTGATGATCGCCAACCAATA